TGGTCCCCCAGACATCTCCTGGCCTGCACGTTGCTCCCCTGAGCAGTGTACTTCCTCAATCTGTCTGTTCTGTTCCCCGCTCTGTCTCTGATGAATCCTCTCACCACCCCTTCACCTCTGGCTTGTACCCCAGTTCTGTATGCATAAATAAATAAATGTTTAAAAAAAAACTTCATGTTCTCATTCAACTCATGGTAAACACCATGGAATGTACATAATATATGTGAAACATGAATTTTAATCTCTGTGCCTCATACAAATATACTTTACATTGGGCCAAGATACAATTCTGTATAAATGGATTTTTTTGAGGGGTAAATGATTCACATTTGAAAGATTTACCTAGCATTTAAGTCAATTTAGTTAGCAGATAGCAAAAGACACCAAAAGTCACCTTAATCTCTTTATTGCACACTAATCAAATTAAAGTTCCTTTCCGTTAAGTCTTACGCACCAAGAAAAAGCAAGAGTCACCACCAGCCTCAAGTTTTTCACTATGAAACAAATAAATGTTAAAATTGTGTTTTTGTGTGTGTGTTGTGTATGTCTATGTGGGTGCATTTGTGTGTCGTACATGTCTTCATGTGTATAATGTGTCTATATGTGTGTACTGTATATCTTTGTGCATCTATGTTTATGCGTATGGTGTGTATGTGGTATATGTCTTAGGTATCTTTGTGTGTCTGTGAATTATAGGTCTGTGTGTATATTTGTGCATGTATTGCATGCCCGTATATATTTGTGTATGTTTCTGTGTTGTATATGCCTCTGTGTGTGGTACATGACTGTGTGTATAGTGCATGTCTATGTATATAGTGTATGTCTATGTGCATCTCTGAGTGATGTCTGTGTGTGGTGCATGTGTGTGTATTTGTGTGCTCCACATCTGTGGGTGTATGCATGGTGATTGTCTCTGGCTGTTTCTAATGGGCTACATTGTTACTTCTTTCCTCCTCTTTCTTCTCCCCCTTAAAGTATAATTTAAGTGTCTTTTGCTTCATATTCACTGTTCATTCATAAATAACCCTTTTAGGGTTCCTTTTATATATGCCTTGGTGTTGATAAATTATTTTAGTTTTTGCTTTCCAGTGAGGCTCCATACTCTTCCTTATGTCTTGATTATTGCAGGCTAGAGCATTCTGGACTGGAAATCTTTTTATGTAATTTAATATCTGTGCTAAAAAGTCTGCTGACTCTCTGAACTGGTGTTCCCTATGGTTAAACTTTTTACTCTTGATATTTTTAATATTTTGTCTTTGTCATTGGTTCTGAACAACTTTATTACTATGCATCTTGATGTTGTCTATCTGATATTATTTGATCTGGAACTCTTTGGGTTTCTTGGATACCAACTTTTGTTTCATTTCCCAAAGTGAAATGATTTTCAGTGATTTAAAAAAAGATTTATTTTTATTTATTTATGCCTGCAAGAATTGGGGTGTAGGGCCATGATGCAGGGAGTGAGAGGATTCACCAGAGACAGAGTGGAGAGCAGAACAGGCGGATCAATTGAAATACACTGCTGAGGGGAACAGCAGGTGAGAGAGGAGCTCCCTAGCCTGGGATCAAACTCATGCTACAGTGGCTGGAAAGAATTTGATTAGTGCTGAGATTTTAACCCTTGTACCACCAGAGAGGTCCACAACGATTATTTCTTAAAATAGGTTTTCTGTGCCTTTAAATTTTACTTCTACTTCTTGAATCCCATGATAATGGAATTATTTCTCTTTAAGTCCCAGAGAACTCTTACATTGTTTTCAGTTTTTAAATTCTTTTTTCTCTACTTTGTTCTATCCTTGTGTCTCCTGATATTGTTTTCAAGCTCATTGATTCTGATGTTTCTGTTTGTCTTCTACTAAGGTTTTTCAATTATATTTCTTAAAGCAAAAAGAGTGTTTCTTAACTCCATAATTTTTTAGTATAGCTGCCTCATATTTTCATCCCTATTTTGTTGTAGTTTTGAGGTTGTTTTTGGAGTTGTTGGGTTCTGAGAATGGCATCCTTGGGCTCACTTGGGGAAAATTTTCACCAGAGCTTCCCTTGAGCAATACAAACTAGTTTCTAAAAGGACAGGTTTGTTATAAAAGGAAAATAGGCATAAAGGATGCTTGCATTGGCACAAGCAGGCAGAAAGAACTGCCCCCCAAAGGAGTAGGTTTTCTGAGAGGTCTATATGGTCGCAGGTGGGAGGCCTTGAGGAGCACTGCCTCGGCTGAGGGACCTTAGTGAGGAGAAGCCCAAGGTACAGGTCATGGGCAAGAAGGAGAGCACCCTTGCAGAAGGAGAGAGTTGGGAGAAGGCCACATGCATCAGCACAGGTGGGCAGAAGGCCTGCTGCCCTGGGCCAGAGCAGGGAGTACACGGATATAGTCTTCTTCTCTTCTTCTCTTCAGGAGGTTCTAAAGAGAAGGTGGTGTGACCTGTTTGCTATTGATTTTGGATAACTGATACAGAATTTGAAAGAGACCAGAGATTCTACAACATCCCTCAACCTTCTCCAGTCTGCTCCTGTGACACTTTCTAACAGAAGTCTGATACTTTGCTTGGTCTGTATCTTGGTGCCTAAGGATTTTTAGTTTCTATAACTGGTTTATCAATCTATGTCAATCATTTCTCCCTCCACCTCCAGCTCCTGGCATTGTGTGAGCCAGATTTTTGGCCAGGGGTACCTCCTTTCCCACTTTTCCATGCTTACCCTCCATCTGTTTCATACACTCTATTGCATTTTTAAGTTCCATCAGTTGCCGGACTATTGTCCTGAATTCCCTTTCTGTAATGTTCTATCACCCCACTGAGTTGGGGCTCCTTTCAGGGTTTTTTGTTTCTGGATTATGTACTGTGTTCTTTTGTCTCCTCATTTGCAAGTTTGTATGGATTTTGGTAAGGATAGGTATTCAATTGTTGTTTTTGCACCTGTTGGTGCAGTAGGGTAGCGGTGCCAAAGATGGGTGGTAAACAAAAAACAGGACTGGGCAATAAGCATCAAAGAGTCACCTTCGGTAGAGTCAAGAATTTGAAGTATTCCTTTGTTGGGGATGGCAAGTGTTTTATATATCTCATCTGGGGCAGCAGGTGACAGGTGTTCTGGATAGCTCAGCCCAACGTCAGCAGTAGTCTCTCCTATAATGGGATCCAGGTGCCCTGACTCAATTCAGGCTACAACTCCTCTATTATAAGCCTCAGATTCAAACCAGTAGTCTTGTTCTGTGCTTTCACAACTATAAATCTGTACACTCATAGCTCCACAATGCAGGCTCCATCCTGGGTGCCTGCTCATGCACCCCCTTATGCAGTGAGTCTTAGGAGTCTTGAAGTTGGTGAGTGACCACATCAATAGCTGCAGGGGCTCTGTACCACAGCCTCTCCTCCCTCCTGGAGGCTGTATGACTCATTATTACTTCGAATGAAGTTCACTTAGAGATTTTCCTACCTTTAGTTTTTGGTGGGGGGTGGCTGCTGATGCTCCTATTGTGTATACTGATGACCAGTTTTCAGGGATGCTGGCTTTGTTTTGCAACATTTTTTTCTGTATTTTTTTTAATGAATAACATAATAGTTTATTTTTACATCATTTTGTGCATTTTTCTATCTCTGTTGTAATCCCCTTGGGTTTCCCATCACCAAATCGCCCTGTGCCATCACCACAGTCCAGTGCATTTCCCTCCCCCCACTGTTTTTGATCCCATTCCCTACTCCACCCCCATAAAATATCTCTGGTATATAGCTGTTCATTATTAATATTTTCTCGCCTGGCCCATTATATTCCTGTTTTGAGTGAAACCATCCGATATTTTTCCTTTTCTTTCTGGCTTTCACTAAGCATGAGCCTTTCCAGCTCCATCCGTGTTGTTTTGCAACATTTTTATTGTGTCTAGAGGTGGCAAGCTGGGACTCTTCACTCTGCTGCTATTTTGCTGGATTCCCATGGTGCATGTTTATGACTGTTTTGGTGCAAGGCTGTGTGTGTAGTATTTGTCTGTGTTTGTGTGTGTGGTCGGTGTGTGTGTGTCCATGTACATTTATGTGTTTATGGTGCATGTCTGTATGTATCTATGTGTCTGTGGGGGGAGGCAATCGCATTTATTCATATCGCACTATGATTTCCAAATGTATTTTGTTAGTGACTGCTGAAAGGATCAGCTTTATTTAACTCTAAGTAGTGGGTGTTTATGATGAGTATTCTGTCCATTAATTCAACAGAATAGATCTCTTTATCCTCCCTAAGCCCGTTCCTAACAAGCACACAATCTGAAAAGCAGGTGGACTGGAATCAGCCACCACCTGCTACCCCAACTTCCTGTCACAGTGAGATTTGTGCAGCCAACCCATGAAGAATTGGCCTGCTTGTCCAATTAGATAAATAAACTGTAAAAGTCTGCAGACAAAGTTCCTATGATATTTCTATCAATATAATGGTGTTTTCACATCTCACTGTGGTTGGACATATGGAGCCAGGCCTGGTTCTCAGGAGGCAGGACACTGTTCCTGGGTCAGGCTGCTAAGAGGCGCAGGCAGGGGGGCTCTGTTCTGAAAAGTCTGGGTGCTGTGGGGTACATGTCATTTCCAGCAGCTGAAGATACAGAAATTGGGCAATAATGTATTTTCTTTTTTATATCTATTTATTTATGCCTAGAGAACTGGGGTACAGGCCAGAGGTGCAGGGACAGTGAGAGGATCCACCAGAGACAGAATGGGGAGCAGAACAGGCAGGTTGATGAAGTACACTGCTGAGAGGAGCAGCGTGTGGGTCAGGAGAGGTCTGCCACGCCATGTGGATCACCTCTGGACCGGGAATTGAACTCATACTCAAGCGGCTTTAGCTTCTTAGTGCTGTGCTTTAACCTTCTGTGCCACCAGGGAGGGTCCAGTAATGTATTTTCTCTTAGCAACTCTTTAAAGAGGGAAGCGAGTGGATATATTTAATGACCACAAATACCAGTTCTGCCATGTTTTTTGAGCTGTCATAAAATAAATTAAAAAGAAGCTGACTCAAATGTGTTTCAGAGTTTATTAGATAGATGTATAACACAAAGAACAAAGGATGACAAACCATTACTACTTTACAGTGACTGAAATGTCACTTGGTTTCTCAGAGTCCAACCTCCTACCACCACCCCCCACCCCCCACCCTGGGAAACACTCACACTTGGAAGAAAATAAACATGGAAAACCCACGATTCCAAAATGCATGGAACGAATTTCAAATGCACATATTTAGAAATACTTTTATTTTTGTTCGTGTTCATGAAGTGATCACTGATATTTGCAGTTGCATCTAACAGAGGGAGGCCTGTGGGAGATCTAATTCAAGCTTAAGCCAACTGTGCAAAAAGAATTGCAACCCCAGAAACAGCAAGAGAAATCTGCTGAAAGGAAATGCTTGCCACCTTGCAGATAAGAGAAACAATGCAAGAAAGGAATTCCAGAGCTTCTTCCTAAAATAAATGTACATTATCACCAAAAAAGAGCAAAACACATTGCATTTTTTAAAAAGTACTTCAGTGAATGTTTTGGGAACCTGGAATGCAGTAAGTTACTTGGTTATTGAATACATGAAGAATTTTGATGATTATCCTCTTTTTTGATTGACAAACAAGACAAATTTAAGTAGCGAGTTTTGCAGCTAAAGAAGGGACAGATGTTTTCAGAGATCATATTTCAGATTCCCATGCTAAAGCTATTGTTTAAGGTGATGGAAATATCCACGAGACATTACAACACTTTGCAGCTGCTAGAAAGCAATGCTTTCCTGTTTTGCTAATTTGGACAATGGAGCAGCTAAGAAGAAAAAATAATAGGAAAAGGTTTTCCTACATTTCCTTTAAAAAACTGTTATTTTGAGTTTTAGTAAATTATTTTTGGTCAAATCTCATTCCTGTTCTTAGTTTTCACAGGAATATTTATGGGAAATAGGATTGTAACAAAGTACCTAGTGACCAAGTCCATATTTTTTCTTGTTTGGTGATAAAAATCTAGGACAAATAATTTCAAACTAAGCTTAATGATAAAGATAAAAAGAGAACAGCAACATGCACCTATGTATTCAAGAGAATTGTCTTCAATCCCATTCCTCCTACAAAGTGTCCATATACATGCACACACATACGCTTCATTTTTATTCCACTTTTTGGCCTAACATGTTGAAGAAGATGCTATAATGAGCCTTTCCAAAAGGTTGCAAGTCTATCATTGAATAACACTTAGGGCTATAGTCGGCCTTGCCAAGCTTAGCAATCACTGCAATCTGCTGCAGGTCAGAACCCAGTAAGTTTAACCCCTTCAAGCTGCCAGGGGAAGAAGGTGGAATGTCAAGTTATCATGTCAGTAAAATCAAGTTCAGTTTATGGGTGGCCACAAGAGGTGGTGCCAGATGGTTACAGGTGGGCAGGGCGTTCATCCCACAGAGAATGCTCACTGAGACTACCTCTACCAAGCATTTTCAGATCATAGCCCATCCTTGGTTTTTGACACCCCAGAGACTCCCTGGGGGAACAACCTGCACAGGCTTCTCCAAATAGTAAATAACAAAAAATGGTCAGCAATTGTCCCAAAAGTCCAGGAATAGGCATAGTGGGCTAAGTGCCTCCCTTTTAAATGAACTGCCTTGGGAGTTCAGAGGGTGTGATTGTGTCCCTAATACAGTTTTTACAAACGACTCCCAGAATTACTGAACTATGGGAAATTGTATTTGGACAGAAGTCTCCATTGTTTTTGAGCCTATTGCTCAGTGGAAACTTCTCTATCTCCTTCTCGCCCCAGCTTGTTCTGTTGTTAGACAGGACAGGACAGAACAGAATCACCTGCCACCCCCACCTCCCCAGGTCAGGGCATAGTCGGAGGAGTCTGTGGTGCAAGCAGAGTGCTCCCTTCCCCACTCTCTACCCTCCATTTCCCTTGCTAAGTCACAGTCTGGGGTCCCTCTGAATAAACAGTGGATTGCACTTCTATGGCCTCCAAGCTTCCTCAAACAAACAGTTGCAGACCACAGACAAAATGACAGTGGCATTAAAATGGAAGAATAGAGCATCCTTTGAAGACACAAGACTTCATCAGGTTCCCTAATAGAGGCTATTCAATTCCTTGACCTTGGCCTCTAGAGAGAGCTCCCTGCATTTGGAAAGAGCTGATTACCTGAGGGGATCTTGAGAAACTTTGCTGTTAATCTCCTTCTCCACGAGGATCCACTGCAGGGATCCAAGATCTCCTGGGTGTGTAGAACAAAGCTTCATATTCCCAACCACAGAGGAATTGGAACAGAAATCACAAAACGAGACTGGGTTGTGTAGGAAATCCAAACACTGAGATGAAAGGTCTCACTGGTGATCTCAGCCAGTTTACGACTCGCAGGACCACGGAGAGGTTGATGGGAAGTACAGTAGGAAAGCCTCCTTCCCGGGAATGATAAGGATAAGAATTGTAAAATTGTTGAATTTGCATTTATTTCCTGTATATACAGACACTGGTCACATTTGACCAAGTCTGTAAAATCATTTACATGGCTGGATGATCGGTTCCCATACAAGAGAATGCCATGGGCCACATGGCTTATTTCTCCTAGAAAGGAATCTGTGTTCCATCTGAAAACTGAAGAAGACCAGCTGACTTTAGAAACACAAGTTCCAGACACCCCACTGCGCCCCACTTAGCCTCATCTTTCCTCTTCAGCTTTCCATTGTCTTTCTAAAAAAAAAAAATTAAAACTACTGCATATATTTTCAAACTTGGCAAAAGGATATTTGCTTAACTTTGAAGGCCATGCACCTGGTGGAAATTCCTGCCCAGGGCACAGATCTACGGGCCAAAGGCATTTTTGGGGTGAAGCCAAAACTATGGGGTACTCTCATTCTAAGCAAAGGAGGACACCCTGGTGGAAAACTCCCCTCTGCTGCTGTACACAGTGGCAGCAGAAAACCCTCCAAGACACCTCACCTCCCAGCTGCAAACAGCTCTAACCATCAGGAACCTCTTGCTACTGCACAGAGGGGTCACTTAATGATGAGCATATACATTAAAATTGCTTAATGTAGTTTTGATGTTCAAAAACCTCCGTTATGTTCTCTTCCTCTTTTCCTTCCCTCCCTACCCCCATTTTCAGGAAAAGAGAGAAACCACAGGTCCTTAGCAGCTGGCTGCTTAGAACTGGGCTGTGTCTGCAGCTACAAACCAGGAACAGGCTGTCAGGAGGCAAGGTGAAAGGTGAACTACTAAGACGTTCTACTATGACAGTTTTCAAAACTCAGAAGCTCCTCCCTCTCCCTCACAAATGCCTCAGTAACCAGCAGAATGAGAAACTCTCTAGCACATCTTTTATGTACTAGCAAAGAAAGGCCACCCAGTCAGAGCAGCGCGCAGAGAAGGTGAGCAGGTTGGAGGCTGCACGCGCTAGTGCAGTTGTCCTGGACTTCCTTCCGTATGAGTTTTTCTCCAGCAAGAGTCGAATATGTGTCAACATTAATATGTTTGGATGAATACATTCAAGTACTTACGAAACAATCCCCTGGTCTCTCTCTCTAGCCTGAGACCACATGTTTTCAAAACCACTTCTAACTCACTTCATACGTTCCCCACATTATTCAGACCTCACTTGGGAATAAACCCAAGACAAATCTTGAGAACTAGATTTCTGAAATCCCAGGCTCTTCGCTACCTAAGTCGTTCCTTGTACTTCTACTTGCTCACTTGGGGGATGTCACCAACGACCACTCAGCGGGACTCATGATGGGAAAATGTGGAAATGAAATGTAAAGAAAAGTTTCCAGTCCTGAATTTGCTCACTTGACTCTCCCCACCCCAAAAAGCTTCTTATATAATAAAATAGTACACTTGATTTGCTCTTACCCTAAGAGGAACAAATGATTTCAGCCCCAGATAACATGAGCAGAGGGTCTTTTCCCCATTACTCAAGTAAGCAGAGAGGCTGTTCAAAAGTAGTCCTATTAGCACCTGATCTGTAGCACCCCACCCAAAATCAGCATCCAAGAAACAAACAAATCACATTAAAATTTGAAAAAGGCGAGTGAGAATCATTGATATTTACAAAATCTCCACAATGACACCCCAACCTGTAGTTTCCGCTTCAGGAACACCTGACTCAAGTAGAAAATACCTGCACATTTCAAGCCAGACTTTCAAGGAGAGGTTGAGAATGGTTTGACAAGATTCCAATTCAGTCTTTTGGAAGGATGAAAGTCCCCCTTCTCACGGAGCATGTAAAATTCTGAGGTTGGTGGCAGCCAACTGTCCACGCTCAATGGGACCACCTCACCTTCAGCAATCCGTCCCAGGTGTCGGACTACGGAAAACAAGATGACAGTGTTGGAAGTATGCACCCCTCTACCCGGGGAACCCACACCTCTACCTAGGGTATGAGCCCCAGCCAGCATCTCTGAGGCAGGGGTCTCATAACCAGAGCCCACTGCAGCCCTCTGCCTGCCATGTGCCATGGCCATAGCCCTCCTCCTTTCATGCCTGCTGCCCTCCTCCCACTGGGCACCCTCAGGCCTCTCTTACCTGTACTGATTCTCCATGGCTCTGCCCTCAGCTCGCTCTGGAACCCAGGAGTAGCTGTCTGCTGCGCTCTGGGGCTTCTTCTCCTTTATCTCCTCTCTCCTCGCTCTCCTCTTGCGATAGATCAGTAGCCCCTGAGCCAGAGCCAGCAAGAGTAAGATGGCCACCACAGTGCCCAGGATGTAGAACAAAAGCAGTTTTTGCCCATCCGTGCCCTCACTTTGTTTGGCCATGAAGTCCCGACCTGTGGACTCCTCCAGGCTGGTGATGACCATGGGGTTGTGGGTGCTGAGCTCCATCTGGATGTCAGGAGGCCTACTGGGGGTCAGCATCTCAGGTGGGACTGGCGTGATGAGTATGCTGTGGCGTTGGAAAGGTCTCCTCACGGTAGGGGCCACCTTAGATGTGCCCTCGGGGTTCATGATGAGGCTGGACATGGTGGTAAAAGATGCATGTTTGAGCTCTCTATCTGCTTTGTCCTCGCTCTGGGAAGCCCCAGTTGATGACCCTGCGGACACAGAACCCATGATGCAGGAGACATTGTCGGGGGCCAGCTCCCAGCCTGGCTCACAGGTGCAATGGAAAGACCCCTCAGTATTTAAGCAGTTGCCTTGACAGAGATTCTTCTTTGGGTCTGCACACTCATTCACATCCTCACACTGGGTTCTGTTCTCCCCCATCAGATGGTAGCCCTTCTGGCAGGAACAGACAAACGAGCCCTTGGTGTTGGTGCAGATCTGAGCACAGGGTGAGATGTCCGCAGCACACTCATTCACGTCCTGACAACTCTCCTCTCCAAGGCCACCCTTGGGCTCATAGCCCACCCAGCACTCACAGTGGAAGCCCCCGGGGGTGTTGACACACTCCTGGAGGCAGGGGCTGCCCTGGCACTCATCCACATCAACGCAGTCCCGCTGGCTAGAATCCAGCTGATAACCTGGGGGGCAGTGGCACGTGTAGTCTTTTCCTTGGGACCCAGCGACACATGTGGCGGTGCCTCTGCAGGGGTTGGAGCTGCAAGGGTTCCGAGAGGCACAGGTGACCAGGTCATCCAGAAGCCGGAACCCTGGCCGACAGCCACAGCGGAAGGAGCCGTCGCCCCCCTCAAAGCAGTCCTGCTGGCAGCCGCCATTGTTGAAGTTGCAGCCATACTTGGGGCTGACACAGAGGGGTCCCGAGCTGCCCCAGTCGAACACGTCGGGCTCCTTCTCTCGGCACATTAAGTAATGCTGCCCGCTCTCGCCCTCTTCCCCGCAGGCCACATTGGCCATGGTGGCAAAGGGCACCGCCTCCAGAGAGGAGCTGGTGGCATGGAAGGGAGTGGTGTAGTTCACCTGGCCTGGGCCCCCCAGGGCCAGCGGCCGGCACATGCCTTTGAAGCTGAACTTGCACACAAAGCCCTCGATGTTGCTTCCGGGAGAGCCCGGGGACCCACATGGGCTCTCGGACCACTTGGGGAGGCGGCCGGCCTGGGGTGTCAACGAAGGATCCAGCAGCAAAGACACACAGCGCTTGGAGATGCAGGAGTTCTTGACCTCCTTGTGCCAGTTGGTGTACAGCGTGTCCTCCCCGCCGCTCACCCAGCTGAAGCCCTTCAGCTGCAGGCTGGGATCCAAGCACTTGCCCTTCTCCCGCTGGAGCCCAATCCAGAACTTACTTATCCGAGCGCCCAAGGGCGCCTTCAGAAGCTTCAGGAGCTGGGCCAGGGCTTGCTGCGTGTGCTGGGCCTCCTCCTCGCTCTTCACCGTGGCCAGGTTGCCCCCGTTATTCCTGCAGTGGAGCTGGGCCTCGGCCGCACTCAGCTTGCCCCAGTGGGCTGTGTAGCAGGCAGTGTCTGCGCAGACCACAGCCTCCGGGTCGGCACTGGCCCCCGCCCAGCACTGGCCCAGGAGCAGCAGCAGGAGCAGGTCGGCAGAGGTGCCCATCGTGCCTTCAGTGTCCACTCCCGGGGAGGCGGGAGGCCTGGCTAGGGCAGCGGCGACCCCAGCTGAGCTCTAAGGGGAGCTGCGAGCCGGGCGACGGACGCTCTGGCTCAGAGGAGGACACAAAGGCTGAGGGCTTTTCACGTCCCCTGACCCAAGGCGCATCCTGTGCTGTTGTACTTCTTATTTCTCACCGGATACTGGGGCTTCCTGCAATGAATAGCTTTCTGACTCCTGTTGCCTTCATCACGGTTCTGTTGATCATAAAAGGGGCTGGGCAGCTTTGCTGGTCCCTGTGGCTGGGGGAGGCGGGGAAGAGGGGGGTGCGGGAATGCAGTGAGTGGTGCTGGGGGAAGAGGTTTACGGCTCTGGGACACAGTCTGCTTTATTTTGGCTCCATGCTCTTTCCCATCCACATGAGGAAACTAAGTGGACTGCTATGGAGCGAACAGAGATTTTCAGGGGCTAGGAAGCTGAAAAAAGTTGCTTAGTAACCCATAATAAAATTCCACTTGCGTTTGCAAACAACCAGAAGAGTGAAAAAAAAGTCCTCAGACTTGAGACAAGAGAGCATGGATGGTCCTAATTTTCAACCTTTTTTAGAAGCATACTGGATTTTTCTTTTGCCTATCTCATGCTCCTTTTGGCTTTGGGAGTCTTTTTTCTTTTATTCCCCCCACAGTGAACTTTAAATAGTTAGGCAGTTTTTAAATAGGAACTGGGTCATGGGAATGTCTGTATTTTTAACAAAACAAAACACCAAGCTCCTCAAGCACGTTCACCCAAATTGGGTGAAATTTGGCAGTTTTCAGAATTTCATAGAGCATATGTTTGGATTGTGAAGTGATGGTGTCACAGAAAGCTTCAGAGTCAGGGCTGACCTTTGTCTGGGAGAAGTTGCATTTCTAAAGGTTTGGTTATAGGAAAGTGACTTCTTGACTGACTAAAATTAACCTTACAATGTAGGCCTTGCGTTGCAATGTATCTTGGCCAGCTTCTGTGGCAGAAACTGGTTCTCCTGTCTTACACAGCTGTCTGTGCAGCCCAGGCTTAGATTCTGCACCTAATTTTGTAATTCCACAGGATACACCCAGCATGCCATGTGGTTGGTACTGCAACACAGTTGTTAAGCCACCCTGACACTGAGATCTCTGTCAACTTATATTTTACTGACAATTCTTCATCTTCCATGTGGGAACTTTCAAGTCAACTGCTCTCACTTAACCAAGTACTCAAACGATGCTTTATTAATGTAGGAAGTATGTGTAAGACCACACTGTTGAGTCTTCCTAGGTTAACTTACCTAGGACCATCAGCTATGCTCTCCCTCTGCCTCCCTCCCTTCCCCACCCCCATGGAGGGCTCCACAGCCTAGGAGCATAGAGGCAGCCATGAGCATAGAGGAAGGAGAGTCTGCTCTTACTGGGTGGTGGCTGAGAAGTATTTAGGATACTTGGATGCCAACTTAGAGGAAATTCTGAACTTCATATACTGAATTTCCCGTAGATGGTGATTCATCATGTTTTATTTAGAGTACAGATTATATCAAACTTCTTGGAGGACTGACAGTTAAAAACAGGAATCAGTAACCAAGAGACCAACAGCTTTCCTTAGCAGATCTCTGGGTAGAAGCCATTTTAGTTCTAAAACAATCAGAGACTTGGTATGAGCCTTGAGTTGTGGCCCCAAAGCACCTACTTTTGATCTGGGGTTTCAGTGAGTGTGCCATAGCATTCTTTCTAAATTTTCTTAAAAACTGATTTTAGGCCCTCCCTGGTGGCGCAGTGGGTTAAAGCACAGCACTGAGAATCTAAAGCCACTTCCACATGAGTTCGATTCCCGCCTGCCCCGGAGGTGACCACATGGCATGGCAGACCTCTCCTGACCCGCCCGCTGCTCCCCTCAGCAGTGTACTTCGTTGATCTGCCTGTTCTGCTCCCCGCTCTGTCTCTGGTGAAGCCTCTCACCGCCCCCTGGGCCTCTGGCCTGTACCCCAGTTCTGTATACACAAATAAATAAATCTTTAAAAAAAAAAACTGATTTTACACCATGCTGGCAATGGTCTCTAATACGAGGATACTTTAATCTCCACATTATTCTGGAGACAAGCCATTGGTTTGTAGGTCATTCAGGCATCTTATTTCTCCTTTTCTTTATTTTCTGAAGTAAAGACTGAATGAAAGAGGGTATATAAACCATCCTGCTCTTTTCTTGGCACACAGCAGATACCCACTGTATGTCAGAGATGTCTCCCTCAATAAATGCAAGCTTCTCTCATGCAGTAAATGTATATAAGCACTTCTTAAACACCAAACTCTGTCTTCTACATGTGGAGGAGGAAGGGGCCTTGATTTCAGTATTTCATGAGATTTGTTGAGTATAGATGGGGGGAGGAATGAAAAGACAGCCCCAATGGTGAGGGGCCAGTGCTGGGAGGAGTTATGCATTCCACAGGGCTCATGGAGAGTTTAAAATAGTAATAAAATCAGTTTAAAAAATGGAACTTCTTTCATATTTTTAGCCCATAAATTCCAACAATTCTTGACAATATCAGTGATAAAACTCTACCCCCCCAAATTTTTGTTGGTCTAAGTTCTAATCAATTGTGATCACAATTGTTCTAATTGTACATCTACCTCTATACATTTGTGTACATATATATTTAAGCTTCAAAGGAGCACGTGTCTTACTTATTTAATAAACATGAAGTTCATTTGGGGACTTTCCAGTTGCAAAGTAAGTTCCCATACAACAGAGACTATGCCATCCACAGAGATTTGAGGGCAAGTTCTCAGTGAGACTTGCTCAGCTACTGGGTCTCTGTGTCCTGCGATATCACAGGCTTCTGTATTTACACAGTAGATTTGTGATAAACAATGATGGCACAGAGGAAGAGAAGGAAACATCCCGATAACGTCGATTCTGTCATTCACTAGGGCCACTTGGTACTTTTATGTTGAAAGTTTAAACCAGGGGAACAGAGTAGGACCAGTATGTGATGTTTTTGTCTGATACATATATTTTAGTTAGTATACCAGGAATTTAGTTGAACGATAGGATATTTTTAAGTTTCAACTTTTTGTAGTGTTTAAAAATTTAAGAATAAATACAGGAAAATTATTACTATTGATTGTGACATGATTAATTTTGAAAGTAATTTCTTAGTAGAAAGATGTGAGGTGCTGAACTGACCCTTCTGGATGCCAGATGTGCAAAAACACATGAGGATGCACTTCTCACAGGAGTCATCTAGTCGATCTTCCAACTATTCTTCACTAAAAGGATGCGATCTAGGTTCAAATCCCATTCTGTCACTTGCAAGCTGTGTGATCCTAGGTGAATTGCTAAGCCACTCTGTTGTTTAACACAACAAACGTTGACCCCTTGCTATAACAGGGGACACTGCACCTTTGAATCTTAGGCTTTCTGAGGATCAAGGAACTTTATACCTGCAGGGCACTCTGAACAGGAACAATGCCTGGCAGGAGGCATGAGCCTCCATCAAACTAGACTCCACTGTGGGACCACCCAGACGGTAGAATCAGAGCCTCAACTTGGCTATTAACTGATTTGGGGGCTGAATCCAGCCTCCTCACTTCCACAGCTCTCAGTTTCCTCATCTGTCAAACAGAGAAGACAGCCATGACTCCCTGGTGCTGTGCTGAGGATTAAATTCGAGGGGACAAGAGCACTGGGTACCTTGAACAGACACTCAATAGACAACAGTCCCTGCTACTAAGAGTGCCAGGAAATAAAAGAAAAACAGACTCCACACCTCCAGCCCTGCCCCCAAAATGGCAAAAATAGAAAAGAGGGGAAAAACCCTCTTCCATCTGCTGGGGACTTGGAGATTTTCTTTTTCGAAAACGTTCCCATCTTCTGAGTCTGTTTGGCTCTTTGGTTGGGTAAACATTCTTGAGCGCATTTTTATTTTCCCACATTTTGTAAATAGTCTCCTAATGTAATTTATCTTGTGCAATATTTATAGAAAAGTTGACTGAACAGAACATTGTTTTTAAGGTTAATTCAAGCTCACCTCCTGGCATCAGCCTTTGATAAGCAGAAGCCTCTCATCAGCATTTGGAAAGTGATAAATCGCTAAAAGAAACAGTACTTTAGACAGGATCATTTTACATTTTTCACCACCAGCAACAGCTCTTTGCATGCAATACATACTTGTAAATCACACTTCCACGGCAGGGTCCATTTGGTATTTACAACATTCTCAGTAGTTCCAGTAAGTTGTTATAAAAAGCTAGCCCTGTAGAATCAATGCAAAATTTATAGATTTTTTTTAATCCATTTTGGCCTCAAATTATTGCAGTTATCCCTGAAATAAAAACAAGAACACAACAGTTGTTGGAAAGGGGGCGAATAGGGTAATATAAAACAGTGCCAAAGGACAGTGCCAGGTTGGGGGGCAGGTCACCATCTGTGGATTCTCACCCATGTGCTAACAACTGGAAGGTCACTCAGGCTCAGGATGCAACAACATTTGGCTTTACTTAACAAAGGCGATTGAGGAAAACAAGAGTCTCGAAGACAACTATAGTCAGCTAGCTCACTCTAAACACTATGGTGTTCAACAGTCCCAAATAAAAGCCACTTGCCAAGATGGTACTGTCACATCAACAAAGACCTAGAGCCTGTGGCACCCTGGACAAAAGCAGGCCAGGATCCAACTCATGGTGGGAGCTAGAGGTACTCCCTGGTGGGTCACTGAGGTGCCACTGTAGCAGCAGCCCACAGTAACGGTCTGACAGCCAGGCTGAACAGCACTGGATGTGTTACCAGAGGAGGCAACAGCACCAAAGTGCAGTGCCAGATGATCAGAATCACAGACAGTTCTCAAAAGTGACAGGACAGAGTTCTACTTACCGGCCAATAGTGCTGGCTAGCACTGGTCAGTGGTGCTGGTCACCATCAGTCATCAGGAAGCAGTTCTGAGATACCAGTGTTATGGTTCTTTGCAGTATACAAACCAATATCCAATAGCTCTTTGA